CAACCTTTTGTTGGGTAATAAAGCAAAAAAAACATCTTTTGAGATATTTGTAGACACAGACTCGTACTTAAATCATGACTGTATCAAAAGAAAGTTCGCAACCATCAAAGCATGATCTGATATGTGAAAAGTCATTAAAAATCGCTGTAATAGACTTGAAGATGATATAAAAAAAAGATATTACGTTTCTATATATATAAAATTTGTTAAAATAGAATTAAAATGTATTGAAAAATTTCAAAATTTGCTCCATTGTACTTCTATTATTCAAGAAACACAATGCACTTAACAATTTCTATTTGGTACTCTGTGAACTTGTGTCTGCCAGGCAGAATTTTTGAATATTTTAAGGGAGTGGGCGCGGTTGAAACTTGCAAAACAATAGAAGATTTTATGTAAAAGATGCATGTTTGGAGACGTGTTGGCAAGATACGACAAAACTACTCGACAAAAACACTTAATGCTTTATATGTTCATACTACAAGTAGCAAAGAATAAATATAAATGTACTTTCTTTCAATTGATAACACAATGATATTCATTATTACCGTCAAACTAACAACCGCAGTTAACAATCATTAAAATTACATTCACAAAAACTTAAGAAAATTTACTTTAATTTAAAATAAATTTTTATAGTCTTGTAAGAAAAAAAATTAACCTTCTCTTTTATTAATACATTGCAGATGGAAGAAATAACCGAAGGCATAGAAACTATTGAGTTGGCAGTTAATGATGAACCATGTTTAATTTCAAATGGCACGAATTTAGATACAAACAATGTGTCGCACCTCAATTCAAATGCACATGAATCACTGCATGCATCTAATACTAATATTGCCCTGATGCCCATGTCTAGAATGTTATCGGTTTTACGCACAAGCATAGAACATACGAAATCTGATTACATTACTAATCGACGTCCCAGCGTTGACAGTATGTTACAGACGCAGCAATCACAGGCGTACATGCCAAGTCCCACGCATAAATCGCCATTGAATTTTAATGCTACACAAGCCTGCAGTCCTAGTGTCAGTGAACGACGTAATTCTGGTAGCGCAGTACGTCGCTCATCAATAACTACACCTGACAGCGGCATCGCTAGTCACACACACTCTGCACAATTTACGCAAACGTTAAGTCCTCATAAAAATATATTTTCACCTACACCTACACCTGCGGTTGTAAAAAGTTTTTCTGATAAATCTGTCAACTCTTCGCCAAAGCATATGGTTTCGTCGGTAACATCGCCGATTGAATCCATGAGTTTCATGACTAGAGAACATGTCTTAAAGCAGGAAATTGATCAGTTGCAGGAAAAACTTAAAGATACTGAAGAACGTTTACAGTCTTTGCGCATACAGCATGACTCTTTAGCGCAGTTGCACCGTGATTTGCGTGACAATAGTTCACATTTACAGGAGGAATCGGAAATGCTGAAGTTAGATGTGCAACACTTGACAGAATGTGCAAACGTTTTGCGTACGGAACTGAAAGCAGCGCGTAATGATCGCAGTGAAGCTTTGGAATTACAGAAAGCATTGCAAACAGAACTAGAAGAAACTCGACAAGACAAAAAACGTGCACAAGAACTGAAAGAAAAAGATACTAAAGTTATACAGGATTTGCAACGGCAATGTCGGGAAATGGAACGTATTTTGATGCGTAAACATCCTGACTCTGTTTCCGCATTGATAGGTGTGTCATTATTTAGTTGAAGATTGCTTGACTCTGTTTTTTACATATCATATCTTTTCTATTATAGTTGCTTCTAAAAATCCTGGAAAATGTACTAGCAACGATCAAGAGAATTTAAATAGTCGCAAACTATTGGAACAACGTATAGCACAATTGGAGGCAGATGCCAAAGCACAGGATCTCAAAGCACAACAAATACTGGCCAACGTACAAGCGCGCTTCAACTCAGTACAAGCAAAATATGAAACACATATTGCTGATTTAGAAACACAAGTCTTAAGGTAAGTTGTTCTACAATAATTTAAAAATTTATTTGTGTGTAAACGAATTCTTCTTCACATACATAATTGCAGTTTACAAGAAATCAACACAAAATTAAATGAAAAGATAGAATCTCAAGTGCGTACACTCGATTATTTTGTTTCGAAAAAATCTGAGCAGTACTACAATAATTCTACACAAACTGATGATATTAAAATTGTTGAAGAAGAGACAGAAAACACTAGTTCTACAGTGCGAGTAACTACGTCGGCCTGCACACAAACAGCCAACACAAAAACTTCTACACGAGATCATAGCACAAATACCATCGGCACCTCTAATCAGCATTCAGCAAGCTCCAGCAAAGAGACGAAATTCAAGCAATAATAAAGCCAATTTAAACAATGCTAGCAAGCCCAACTACGGATCTCAATGACTTGCGTCAAACGCCTGTTTCCTATCATGATCACCATTTTCAAATGTCTGCCTATACGCCGCTCAAAAAAGATGCACATCTTTTGGCCACATTAGCGGTATTCGTTGATTTGCCATTAAGAAAGCCATTAAGCGCTGACACGTTAACTTGATAGAATTGCAAAAAGACAAAAAAAGTTGAAAGGAAAAAGAGGTGAGTCAGATTCTATTTATTAATTTGTTTTTATATTTAAAATTTGCTACAGTTTTCGTTTTAAATTAAATTCATTTTCTCTTCATTTGCATTATAAAACGTAACAAAATAAAATTTTTTAAATATGCAAAATTTTAAACATTAAATACATTTTGTTTGTTAATAAAAACAACATAAACATCAAATTATCAAATCAAATTAGATAAAATATTTGATTAACTATTAAATATTTGAAAAGATTTCATTTCTTTAGTATACAGATTGTTTTAAATAATATAATTTATACATATAGTTTCGTTACCTACAATATGTGTGTTTGTATATGTATTTAGAAATAGATCTAGATTAGCGATGGTCATGCAGTGGCTCAATTCAATTATTCCGTTCCTCTATTGATATATTTGCAAATCACAATTATAAGCACTCCAGCAAGAACAACAATAATGATAATAACGTAAAACAACACTGGAACAGCGTTCCGTGGTTTATAATCATTTTTGCTTATTCATATGTATTTGTCTCTGTAATACCATTTATTATCCATCGTTATACAATTTCTGTGCTGATACACCTAATATGATTAAGCGTATGAAAAATAGTTACCAACATGTTTTAACAAAAGTAGAGCTATGATACGCAACTTGCAATGCAATGCTCATCCACAAGCATTAAAAATTTACGCAAATAACTACTGTTCCAAGTAACAATCAAAAGTAGAAATAATAGGGGGAATCTGTAGCAAATACTAAAATCCGTTTTGGTGTTATGAATTTTGAATATGAGTAGGTATATAATTTTGTATTTATTGTGAATATTGTTGTACTGCCCCTTTAACATATTTCTGTGCCCACCACTGATCTAGAAAGTATTATCCGTTTATAATAAAGAATATTGTACTATTATCGCTTTCTAGCTTATTTACTATAGTCATTTGTTTTAATAGATATTAATTTCATTAAAGCATTAAATTTAAAATCTATAGTATAGACATCTATTATAAAATATGTAGTTTCCGTAACAAAACAGTTAATAGTAAACTTCAATTTACGTTCTTGCAAATATTGGTAAAAAGTATAGATTATAACATTTTTATTTAGAGTTCATATTTAAGGTTACTGTGATATCGAATATCGTTAAAAAAATTTTTCGTTGATACATCGAATACACGATATATAGATTAAATTTAATCGAAGATGGAACTTTTACAAATCAAAAGATCCATCAAGTGATATTTAAATGAAAGATCCAAGACGGATCTGTTACAAATAAAAAAAAACCCGTCAGGTGATACATAAGTAAAAGTTTTAACTTTGAAAACTCCTACATATAACGATATCAAATCGAAGGTACATTTGTTACTTGCAAATCAATTGACATCTTTATGAATGCAGATGAAGTTGTAAACTATAATATTGAGTTGTTAATTATTGTTAATCAAATTATTAGACTTAATTTTTAAAATAATTAAAATAATAGAACATAGCGATTATATTATCTACGAAAATTAGTCGTCAAACAGCACTTTGGATTAGATATCACAAGGAATCCCTAAGCTGAGTGAGTTGATTAAATAGACCTCATTAATATGATCTTAGATTAGATATTAGAGGTTATTTCAGCAGCAACTGGTTATCCATCTAAAACCACTTATATATTAAGACGACCAAGGTTGATGATTCACCTAAATAAATTTGATGAACTGATTTAATTCAATGAAAGATAGAGAGAGGTTTTTGATTATAGTAAAAATATCTATTTGTAAATTATTCTTTCCGTATGAAAAAGAAATTTATTTCAAATTGAAAATGGGACGATAGTGACAAAAAAATTGATATCCTATGAAATTTTTTTATATTTTAGTCAAATGAGTTCTTGGTACGTTTCAGATATTGCCACATATCCATCATCAGTGAGATTTGGAAGTATTTATTAGTCTTATTGTAATTTTAGACTTTAAATGTCAGAAACTTAATCCACAAAGCGCTTGTACTTGCTGTGTTATATAATGGGTGTTTTTTTAACTGCATAAGAACTATCGATATCGATAATTTTGGTTTGACAGCTGAGAATATTAAACTGTTAAGACATTTTAGCTTAGTAATGTTTGGAAATTCATTATAAATCGATTAACACTAGAAGAACGTTTCCAGATTGTGAAAATTTATTTTGAAAGAAATTAATGTGTTCGCAAAGATCATATCGAAGAATTGTGTTTAGTGATGAAGCTCATTTCTAGTTAAATGTCTATGTCAATAAGCAAAATTGCCCTATATGGAGTGAAGATAATCCTCAAGCCGTTAACGAATCACCATTACATCCATTACAATTGACTTCTTGGTGCGGTTTACACGCTGACGGCATTATCAGTCCGTTTTTTTTGTTTTTGTTCCAGAAATTAATCAGTTAAGTACCGACAACATTTCGCATTTGGTCTCAACAAGCCGACGACGGCGCAACTTCCCATTTTTAATAATCAATTAATTGCGATATCAATTTAGAATCAACTTTATTTCCAGAAGTGATCCTGTTATCTGGCCCCCTCGTTCGTATGATTAAACGCCTCTCAATTACTTTTTATGGGGCTATGTTAAGTTATTGGTTTATGCCAACAAACCAGTAACTCTTGAAGCAATAAAAGCCAATGTTCATGTCACCATTGACGCAATAGAGACACATTTATTGCAGAAAATAGTCAAAAATAGAACTGATCGAATGGACTATGTAACTTGTATCTATGGCGGACATATGTCGGAAATAATATTCAAAAAATAAATGTTATGAGAAATTATTTACCAGATTATAATAAGAAAAATTTCATTTTCACAATATATTTGTCTTGTGTTATGACTTTGAGTTCTTATGCAGCTAAAAAAACAATCGATATAAAAACTAACACATAAATCACAGCTATATAAATTAACTATTACTAAATTAACAAAAAAAATTTTTTTTTGTAAGAATTAACACTATTATTTATAGACTACATGTTGGCACACTTACTTTAGACTGCTTGCAATCTGATCTCTTGTGTAAAAGGGAGTTTGTATTTATAGGAGACGAAAAAACATTTGTTCAAAGATCTATTTAACAAACGCTAATGGACATACTTCGTACGAAAAAAGAAATCATTGTAAATTGTTTTTTTTTTTATCAAGATCTAACACTATTATTTATAGAATATATGTTGGTACACTTACTTTATAGACCGCTTGCAATCTGTTCTCTTGTGTATAAGGGAGTTTGTATTTATAGGAGACGAAAAAACATTTGTTTAAAGATCTATGTAACAGAAGCTAATGGGCATACTAAGAAACCTGGAGGCTATATTAGTAACATTGCAGATATAAGAGCGGGCATGTCTTTAACTGGTTTTCACTGTAGTTGGATTTCTTACCACTATTTTTGATTCAGTGCCAGAATTAAAGAGAAAAATACACTCCTACAACTAAAACATTAAAATGGAAATTAAATGGAAAAGCCTATATCACACTTTACCTATTAAACACAACTTTCTGTAGATAATCGATTAAGGCGCCAATTCATTATCTCTTAATTGAAACATTAATTTAATTTATTTATATTAAAAGCTCATATATTTTTTTTTACAAAAACATATTGTATCATTTTCGCACACATCATAATTTATTACTTTATATTTAAAAACAACAACAACAACAACAACAACAACAGCAGCAGCAACAATAATAATAACAATAACAATTTCATGTTTTTTGTTTTTGTAGCAATTAACGATTTATAGTTTCAATTTCGTTAAGTGTGTAATTTCTTAAATACCCGATAGGGATAGAGCCTCTCATACAAATGCGCATTTACGGCCGGTTCAAACATGGTTTCAAGTGATTTACGGACTTTCTCTGCGCAAGTGGTGAAGGCACGTACAAATGGGGCATCGATTACTGCTGGTACAAAATGTTCATATCAATAAAAATTAATCACTAACTGACTTGACTGAATATGCTTTGACAATCCGAGCTTGTCTCGCGAAGTGATTTTGTTTGTAGCCGTTATCAGTGCGAACCAATCCATTGGAGGTGGAGTGTGTAGGGTGTGTGAATGTGTGAATATGTGAATATGTGAAGATTTGAAGAAGTGTGAGTGATGGCATGTGTAGCTCGGTTTTTTATATGATAATCGGGCATTTAACTGATAATGTTTTGCTATCACGTAGAAACGCACCTACGATACGTGTCGCATTCCGAATACGCCGCCAACTTAGTGACGTTATGTCACTGGATAGTCGTTCAATTGATCATCTTTCCAATGGTTTTTTTTTTCTTCGTATGCTTACTTCTTCACTTTTTTCTATTGTACCTTTCTTTTTAAACTATTTTAGGTTTGTCGCAGTGCTTCTTAAAAATATTTCCAACATTTAATTGTGGCAGCAAGAAAACTGAAACTGAAAGCGAAAGTCGAACTTTTGTATTTTTTAAGCTTTAATTAATGATCGTTACTAATTTTATAAAAAATTATGCATTTACAATGCGATTAAATTAAATTATGTAACATTATTAATTTGTAGAAATTAGCTATAAATTTATTTGTTTATTTTTTTTATTTTTTTTATTTTTTTTAATTTTTTTATTTTTTTTATTTTATATTATGTAATAAATTTTTTTTCTTATTTGTGTTGCCTAGTTTATTATGATAATTAAAAAAATTTAAATATTACAACATTAAAATTCTTGTTATAATATTTGAGATAATTTATTATTATAATTTTAGTCTTGTGCATATAAGATAATGTCAATGTCATTGTCTAGCGTACTCACAATGTAGGTTAAACATGCTTGAAATTTATTCCTCGCGGGGATCTTAGTCGATTGTAGTCCACTGTAAGAACACTTTATTGTTAAACAGACCAGTTTATTATAATCTCTGTAGTATAATTAACAATAAGCAATTATTTTGTTTAGCTACTACGGAGTACATGGATTATGTGCAGTGATATACGAATATACACATATGGTATTTATGTGTACTGGTTCAAATTAAGTGTTTATTTCAAGAAGGTTCTCGGTAAATTTTCTTCTTAACCTTGCAAAGAAAAAAGTCTCAGTCGAAAACCAATTACAAGTAGGTCTGGATAATTATAAAGTCGGTTTTGTTTTTTTAAGAATTTTGACTTTTATTTTGAACGTTATTTTTAGTATATTTATACACATATTACCCCAAATTCACTTTTGCCTTCATCAGGAAGGAAATTAAATAATTATGTTTTCAATTGTCATTGTGCTTCTTAATTATGAATGTTGAACTATTGCATCTATCTAAGTCTCACGTGACTGTAGTTTACAATTTCAAAGAGGCTTTAAATCACTATTACAAATCTGAAGCATATTGTTTAATAACAACCTAATACTTCAACTTACGATTTAAATTAAGTTTCGTGGTTTAAGGCCTAAAATATTGCAGTGATCAAACTAGCATTGTTCTTTCAGACGAATTTACTCTTCAAGTAAATTTACTCTTCAAGTATTTTGTCTCAACAATGAGACGAGAGGAGTCAAGGTCGTCTGTATTGTCCTAGGTATAACATTTCTATTGAAACGCCAATGTGACTACTTGTTATTAATTTAAACTTTGCTGTTTATTTAAATATAATATTGTTAACATGAATCTTTTATTAAGACTAAATTGAAATACAATAAAATGATTAAGCACAAAATGCATTGACAAATGAATGATGTTGCCAGATTGATATATTTGTTCCTTGTTAATTTAACACAACAAATATAATATAATAGTTAAATCGATGAAATCTAATCTGATTAAATCTGATGAGTTCGCAAGTCTTTTATTCGCAGAATAATATTATCAAGGGACTTGGATTATAATCAATAGATAAGACTACAAATGTGTCTATTAATGTGTCTTTAGTGAGTGGTCCCATAATGCTGCTTTTAGGTATTTTAACTATTATGCAAAAAAGTTGTTTACGTTCTCATATTTAATTAAAAAGTTCTGCGAAGAGTGACACAATTTCAGAAATATGTGGCAATTCAATGGTTTGAATTAATTAAGTTTAATATGAAGCCTTTGATGCCATATCCGACTTAACGTCTGTGAAATGATTTAAAATCCTATAAAACATACTAAACTAAACTAAACTTCTAAGTCAGCGTTTAATTCATATTTGGCAGATACGAGTTCAACCTTTGGTACTGGCAGTCTTAAAAATTGATTCAGGAAAAATTCAATATAAGAAATAATTTCAAGACCTCTGATGATGGGTAATTTAACAATATTCAAAACTGTATATTCAAGATATATATATTCAAGATATGTATATTCAAGATGTATGGTCAGCCAAAAATTCAATTAATTAAAATAATATAAAAGAATTTTTGTTGTTGTAATTCACTACTTTTCGAAACCTCTCTAACAAATACAATAGTTTCTATTATGTAAAATAGTCACTAACGTCATAACTGACGTTAAATAACAATAAAATAATATAAGTTTTAAAATTGTGGCCCTCGAGAAATTGGTCTATCTCTATTAAGCTACATTGTATTTGAAATATTGGAAAAAGCTGTTAAGAATATTGAAATCAATCGATATATCTCCTTTATCTTATTATTTATAATTATTACCAATTATCACTATTGGTGTATTAGAAAGAGCTTTTAAGATGTTCGAAATTTATTGAAATGCTTTGTTGAATTGCAATCGGATACTACCTTTTATATATATTAATTAACATCATTATTGGTTCTGCGATTCATTTCGAAACCTGATGTAATCTACCAGATTCTATCGTTTATCTGTAGTAATCGCCGTCATTTTTGGTTCTGGGATTCATTTCAAAATCTGACCTTTTGTAAACTACCGTTCCATTTGTTTATATTTCTTTTAAAATTAAACTATAATTTTTTAAAATTTTTAAATAAATTTAAAGTATAATTGTTTGTGTATATAAATAAGCTTATGTCATAGTGTAATTAATACTTAACTCTAGTTTTAATGGCATGATAAATAATGCTATAGCTTGTTAAATTTTGAATAATTCTTTCAATTGATTTTCTGAACATTATTAAAATTCTGTGTATATATATGTATTAGCAAAATCAGAAATTAAATCTGAAACGCATATTTCATTAACTGCTTCTTTATTAGGTTAGATCTTTATGTAAGTTATAAAGTAATGAGCTAACTTTATTACAGTACTGACCGGTACCCTGAACGCTGATCCTACATCTATCAGCAAACGATTACTACTAACAAAAGGAAAGTGGTTTTGTACTTGTTGAATCCGAAAGCTTTTTCTGTGCTGCAAAAACGATCAACAAACAAACATATAGTGGATCTTATAATACATATATATATATACATTAATAATACTTTTTGAAAGTGCTTAAAATCATTCATGATAGGTCAGTTTCTGTTTCAGTACAAATGAACATTGATGTTGTCTTCCGAATTTCATACAATATAAAACAAATACTTCACTGCGCTACTTTTATTATCATAATTATTATCATGACAATAATTATTATCATTATCATAATTGTATAAAAATTTTTAACAATTTATTTAAATTTATTTAAAAACAAAAATTTTAAAATTGCTTTCATTAATTGGCTGCTCTTCTTTTAGCACTTAAATCAGACAAACCACACAGCACGCCTAGTACACTTTCAAGACGTCATTACGATGCATCGCATAATGCAGATCAAACTCCAGCAAACACCGAGAGTCAAGCACTTAAGGAAGCACAAAATAAGATAAAACTACTGGAAGCGGATTACAAGACGCTGCATGACAAGCGTCTGCAAGATGTAAGTAAAGCATAATCGAATTGATATTAAAAACAACAAATTTATGATACTCAGATAGACATTTTAATTCACACTTTTACGCTTTTACAGCTGAAATCTCTTCAAACTGCCCATGAACGTGAACTCGCCTCATGTCACGAAACCGTACGCATTTTACAGCAGCGCTTAAATGAACGTGATGAAGCCTTCGCACTACAGAAACGCCGTAAAATGCCCGTGGATTATTATGCGCTGAAAGCTAAGGTATTTGAGCCACTCAATAGCAAAGCCATTCAAAGATAGTTTTTGACATTTTAATTATGTTAAATTTTAGTTGAAGTGACAATTTATTTTCTGTTTACTTGCCTTTTAATTGAAGTTTTAATTGTACAAGTTTAATGATCTCTTTTATTTTGTTTATGCAACAATCCAAAAAATTTTTTTATCTTATACAATACCGAAGAGACATCATTTTTTTGAATATATTTTTGTTATAAATTATTAAATCTTGTTAATTGAGAAAACAACATATTGTATAATATTCAATAACATAAAAATATTATGTAATTTTAATGGTTTCTAATAAAAAAAAAACTAAGTAAACTACTTGAAAACTATTTAGCTGATGTAATACAAATTATAATTAAAATATTTGACATGTGTTATAAAAATAAAATGTAACAGCCTTTTAAGTAGACTGAATAATTAAAAGAGTACAAAAAAAAGTGTGTAAAAATATCTAACACACAGGGTTCAAACAACCCAAATCACTTATTAGTACCTATAACAATAAGAGATACCAGGATTGTATAAACTTATCAAAAGAAAAACTTAGAATCATCACAGAAATCCTAACAGGGCACTGTAGACTAAAATACCACCTTACAAAACTGGTTATACTTACGGATACAAACTGTAGATTCTGTGAAGAGTATAAGGAATCGGGCACACATTAGCTGTTTGAATACCCTGCACTAATGCACATACGAAAAAGGCTCCTAGGAATGTATATTCTTACGGAAGAGGCAATAAAACTCTGTAAAAAACCATGTGGTTATTAAGTCCTTAACTACCGATTTTTGCAAAATCGATGCTGGTTACAAAACGTCATATAATTTTGAACGTAATGTCGATATATTTATCAGCTAACTTCATAAATGATAAGATACCTGGTAGTAAGGACATTTCTGTCAATTCTAGTGTCGATAAGCTGGCATGAAGTGTCACAAGGCTTCTTTTAAAATCAATTTTTTGGATATTCGTTTCCTATTAGCAACAATTAAACTGGCTATAGCAGTTTATATGATATAGCCTATTAGTCTTTTTTCGAAATAATATGAAACTGATTATCGTAATACCTTCCTTTGTAGCTCTCCAATACAATATCTGTGCAGGAGATAGAATTGATTATAGAATTCTATCAATAATATGTATTGTAACTATGACTCAGAGGCATTTAAAAAAATAGTTAGAGGGATAGTTAGAAAAATAGTAACCATTAATTAAAGCCATACGTTGTAGGTTAGAAAAGGAGAAGAAAAAAGTCAAAAGGTACCATTAATTAAAACTGTTTTAAAGGTATGTTAATTAAATCTTTTCGAAAGCAAACAAAAATCAAGTAGAGAGCTGTAGCTCGCTATTAATATTTTAGGGTATTAACTATTAAGAGTTAACTTTTACGTATAGAAGTACAGAAGAAAGTATAGACTCCTTTTCACTGCACTAATGGGGTCGGTGTTAACTCCTGTATTTAAAATCTTTTTACTATCCACTAACTGACTAGTGCTCTATAACTTAATTAGGATTGCAAAGATATTTCAGAAATTAGAAATGTTGGTTCTTATATACATTATTTTATTGATATATCAAATATTTGATATATATCAAATAAAATGCAAATGAAAATTGTCAATAATTTTGTGAAAGAAAATCACTTAATACTTTAGAAGATTTTTCGATGGGATATGTAAACTATGGAGCTGTTCAATATATTAAAAAAAAAGAAACGTACAAGTATATAAAAAATTTCACCGTTATTATTTAATATGTGAAAAATATAAATTTATTAAATAAATTTATTTATTGAAGGTATCATCACTGGAGCGACGTCATTCAGAACGAGAAGAGCGTCTACATATGCTTGTAGAAGCATTAAGTAAAGGACGTTTAAATGGTGCATTGGAGGAAATGATTGCCGATAACAATAATAAATAAATTATTTTAATTTAATTTAGTTTTTATGAAAATAAAAATTAATTTTATTATTTTAATTATATTCAAATAATATTTTTATTTAATATATGAAAAAAAATATGTGTTCATTGTGAAAATATAAAAATTAATGTGTTTTTAACTATTCGTTTATAACAATATGTTTAT